AAATTTTCGGACTTTATTTTATCTTCACTGTGAAAATGGCTACCAAATGCTATTATTTTGTGAAAATTCTCGATTTTATTTTTTACATTTTTAACTTTATAATGCTATGACATATTTAAAAATGTATGGATCAATATTATTTTTTTATAAGAAATAATATTTTTGAATAATCCCTTTTTCATTCGACATACTTTATCTTAATTAGGATATTAATAAGGAACTAGCAGATCAAGTAGCTATTTGAATAATACACCAATTTTTTAAAATTAAACACTATCTAAAGATTTGCATCGAAGCGTTTTATTTTAATAGTGATTTTAATCACTGTCAGATATCATTATACTTGATCCAACTATGCCACGTCACCACTGTGCCACGACCCCCCTGTGCTGGGTTTTTTTTTTAATAAATCATTTAAATAGAAGTCTTAATAATCATTTCTATTTAACTCATGTTGTTTTAATAAAAGCTACAAATGAAATATATTCCTTGAAGTTATATCTTATAGTATTCTATAGTTTACTGATATTGCATGCCTAGTTTAACCTATTATTTTGTCCGATGTTCAGTTGTTCAATTTCAGTTTAATACTTGTTTTTAACTAATTAGTAATAACAACAAAAATTAGTGGCGATAAAAAAATCTAACTGCAGATTTGAAATCAGCGCGATTTATTCATAATTAACAACAAATTATCTTTTGAAAAGTTTTGTATCAAGCTCATCAATCTTTATACACGTTTACCATAAAAGTAACACCTACTCTATAATTTCTTATAATTTTTCCATAAATAGTATGATAATAAATTATAAAATATCAATTTCATACTCTATTTAATTGCTATAATAGATATTTATTCATATATTATACTTAAAAATTATATAACTACTAATTAGGAATAATAAATGAAAAAGGAGATGAAAATAATTTAATAAAAAATAGGAGATTTTAAAATAATCCACAATTTTTTAAAATTAAACACTATTAAAAGATTTGCATCAAAGCGTTTTTTTTTTTTTTTTTTTGATAGTGATTTTAATCAATTGCAATTATCATCTTTACTAGTCCCAATTATGCTACATTCCCTAAATTATTTTAGAGATGTTTATTCTTCAGACTTTTTTTTTTTTTTGAATATCCGACCATTTCCTATTATACATTAAATATTCATATAAATAAATCATCATAAAATTTATACCTTTTCTGCTTTTCATCAAAGTTAAACAAATTACAAAGGAAGTTTTAATTTTATCGAAAGTTATAAGATTTATAAGAGAAGTTACAAACTTTATAAATAGTTCAAAATTAATAATTGAAGAAGAGATGTTTTATTTATTAAAATTTCTAACCTTCTAATACCTAAACTACATGCTTTTCCAAAAATTCATAATTCGGCAAATAATATTAGACCTATGGTGTTGAATATTAATACCCCAATTTACAATTTGGTCAAGCACTTAGTGATGTTGTTTTCATCTATTCAAAAATTTGATACCTTTCTAGCCAAAAATTATCTAATTATATTATTTAAAATAATGATAAGTTAATTTCTTTAACGTAGTAGCCTTATTCCCGAGTATTCTCCGATAAATATAACAATTGGTTTTCTTATAAACTGGCTAAAGGAACAAAACATAAACCAAAATAAAATAAATGAGCTTATTAATTTAACAAAGATATGTCAAAATGTTTTTCAGTTTTAAATTAAATTTTATGAGCAACTGAGGACACAGCCGCTTTTAGCATTTTTAGCAGAACTTTGCATGAGTAGGTTCAAAACAAATTTAAAACACACCTGTGGTGATTTTCCAAATATTTGGGTTAAGTATGTAGATAAAATTTTTCAGTTATAAACAAAGATTTTAATTCGTGGTCTTTATATAACATTTTAATTATTTTTACCCATCGATTAAATTCATATACAACAAGAACTAAACATATACTAACAAGAAGTAAAAAGAAAGTTGCCTTTTTTGAATTAAAAATTATTGGAAAAACACTCATATGTTCAGGTTCATTCCGATCAATTCGAACCACAGCTGGCAACATAAAATGACAGCTTTTAACAGTATGGATTACAGATGAGTTATTATTCCGATGAATAAAATAGATTTTGATAAAAAACTCAGTGTTATAAGAACAATAGCTAGATTTAATGAGTATAAGGAAAACGTAATTTAAAAATTAGTCCGAATACAAAAGTAGAATAAAGAAAGAAAAACAGCTAGTACACACATTAGTGTATGGAACAAAAAATAATTAGATCACCCATTAAATATTATCCGACATCTCAAAAGGGCTAGTTAGAATTTTTAAGAATTTTGGTATTCCTTTAGTAATAACTAAAATTAATAATTTAAGAGATTTATTAGGTAACCCTAAAGATAAAGTAGAAGAAGTGGAGAAATTGGATATTTATAAAATGCAATGTGAAAAGTTGTAATAAATGTTACGTAGAACAAACAAAAAGAAATATAGAGGTCAGGTTTAAAAAACACATAAGAAACATTAAAAATCAAAAAGTTAATTAATTTACTGTACTGGACATTTATTGACACATAATCATTTGATTAAAATAATAAAAATAATTAAAAACGTGTGATGGTGTCACGTTACTATTATTATGAGAATTTATTATAATAAAATACAGACAGCACATTCTCTTCCTAAGACTGATGAATTAACAAATAATATTTATTGCCAAATTGGTAATAGTTCAAATTATTATAAAACCCAAAAGACCTTGGTCAGTCGACTCCAGTGCCTTGTGTCATTCATCAGTCTCAGTACTCGGTTGTCGCTGTCCGGCTTATTGTTTAAAGTAAAGTCTTTGTTTTTTCTTTTTTAACCTATCTACTCTCTTCCACAACATTTTAGAGTACTTCTGTCTTGCACTTCGTCTGCACCTCATACCTAGGTGTTACCCTTATTCCTTCCTATAACAACAGCCTTTCAACAACCACAGCTAACCCGGAGTGTCAGCCGAGCACGGTGACTGCTGTACGACAACACGCACGTGAATACCTAGAAAGTAGGATCCTCATCCTCATCTTCATCTTTGTACGCTCTTTACCATTCTGTTTTGTGTTACGACAAACGTAAATAATTACAAAGAATATAATATAAGGGAGGCAATAAAAATGTTAAAAAATAAAAACAATTTAATTTATTGGGAAACTTGTATAAATTTACAAAATGTAATAATATTATATTAGTGATTAGTCATATGTGGAAAGTCTATATGTGTTTAGCATTGATAATGCTAACATTTTATTGATAGAAGATTTTTCTCAAAATACGTATCTGCGATTTTTTAGTAATTTTTTTTTGGTATTTTAAGTTAAATACTTTTTACTTTTGAATTAATATTTGTAATATAGTTTTAATTTTATTTAATTAATTAGGCGCAAGTGATTAACTTTTATTATATAATTATAATTACTATATTATTGAGAGTTCAGAAATTTGAGTAAAATTAGGTTTATCTGATGAACTAGTATAATAAAAAATAAATATCCCAAAGGATAGTTTTAGGAGACTGTTCCTTAATTATTCGTTCCATTTATGACCTAATGTTTATTAAAACTATTTCTCGAATATAATTTTTTTCTCGACCTAATTAAATGAGATCTTATTTATTTACATTTCCCATGAAATGGGGGCGTGGTGTGGCGCGGTGGTCACACTAGTTGTTGACGAAACTCTAGTGTTAAGACGCGCCTACCTTCGTAGGTGAATGGATGGGTGACCATGCATACGCTTCTATGATGGCGAAAAAGCATCATGTGTCCCAGTGCAGACAGCAACGGGAAATCACTGCACTTAAATTTTAAAGATATACCAATGGTATTAACCAACATAACGGTTGTAAAAAAAAAAAAGGAAAAATTAAAAATAAACGATTCAATGGAGTATTTATACTGTATTTGTAACAAATTGACGGAATAAACTAACTGAGTTTCATAAATTTTGTCTCAAAACGTAATGCATTACAATATTTTTTATTATTCAAAAAATTAAAGAACCATATATCATAAAATACTTTCTCCTAATCTTAAATGATTAGATTTTATAATATTTCATTATCTCATTATTTATTAAATTAACTATTCCTAATTTAAATGCAAACATTTTAACTGATTATATTTGCACTTTTCCTAAGATTTCAAATGAACCACTTTGACCAAAACTCCAAACTAATGAACCAAAAAATACAATTGATTGTACTAAAGACAAATACATTATTTTTAAACAAGAAGGGTCTAAAAACTTATTACATTTTCTTATGACAATAAATTTTAAACATCTTATTTTGAGTTACTTAAAGATGATAATTAAAAGACAAATTATTTAACAGCCAGAGACCCAACTCTCTTACATGTGAAATACAATTGATTTTTACATTATCTAACTTATAACTTCAAGCATTTACTAACCGTGAGTGAATAAATACATTCGTATACATTTATCAATATTGAGTTTTAACTAATTTTGTGAATAACAAATAAAAAGTGAATCAAGATCGGACTGCATAATTGTAATGTCATTTTTTAAGCACTTCTAATTTTAGCAAATCATTTCAAATCATCAAAAAATAATAAATAAGTTATGAATTACATTACGTAAGTGTCTATTAAAATATATTTAAAGGCGTTACGATGTTTGAAGCATTTTTTAAAGTTAGATTAAAAAAGGTCAAAATAGTCAAACTTTCTTTAAACATTGTCCTATTGAAGAATTTTATGATAGTGATTTTAATAACTGATAAATTTCAGTTTAGCATAGTCCACTATCTTTGGTCCTCACTTTCTTGAGTCATTATTTAAAAAGCAGTTATTAAAAGCTTAAAGGACATAGTTGCTGCTTTAAACCATAAAATTTGAGACTTTTAAGTCATTTACAAAATACTACAAAATTAAAAAAACAGTAACACTATATTACTTTTAATAAAATCATAATAATAATTTTTTTGCTACTATTATCTGTTCAAAATAATTTACCATTATGAGTTCCTATTTTTTCTTTTATTCCTTTAGCTAACGACCGTTTAGTATCCGGTATTATTTGTCTCCATTTTGTTAAAGCTAAATCCATGTTATTGAAATCATTTTCTCCTAGTTTCTTACTAGTTACTAATTGGTACATTTTTCGTCTTTCTTCTGTTCGCTCTCGTCTTAATTGTAACTAAAACAAAATATAAATCAAATAAATATTACTACATTCTGACAAAATTATATTGTGTACTGAGATGAGAAAACTAAAGCTAATTTAATAAAGAGCTAGTAGGTATATGGTTTTAGATTTGATGCGAAGCTGAGAAGGTTATAATTTATTATGGGTTTTTTTCTTTTTATGGTTGACACCACTTTTTCTTAGATCTCATCGGACCAATTTCTTTTAAAGATACGTCAAAAGATCACAAATCGTATCTTGTTGAAGACACTGCTCTTATAAAATGAAAAAATAAAAATTTTAGTCATTCCTTGTATATGGAGGAAATCTCAAAAAAAAAAAATACAATTTTTACAACGAACAGTGTTTGTTGTATTAAAAATTCTGGCTGGGAGTAAATCCAATATCCAGCTACATATTTTTTCAGTAAATATAATTAATATCATCATCATTAAAAAATACTCTGAATCTGTTAATTTTTTTGTTGAAATTAAGTATTTCAAAGTTAAATTACTTACAGAATAAATATCGACAAAACATTTTTATTTTTTTCGGTTTGTCAAAAATCTCGGAAAATTTAAAAATTTTTAAATAATTTGAAATTATATAGAATTTATTTTAAAGAGTTAATAATTTCCAAAATACTGGTACAAAAGTTTTAATAAATCAGTAATCTCTTAAATAGATAATTTTCTAATTTTTAAATTGGTTAAACATATGTGTCTCTTTGAAAATCTAAATTTGATAAAATTTTAAGAGGAAAAGAAAAATTATAGAAATAATTTTTTTTGGAAATTATAGAAATTAAGGTACTATTACTTTACGAAAAGAAAAAAAAATATTATAGTTTAATTAATATTAATGATAAATATTATATTATAAGATACTATGAGTCATAGTTCAACAATCATTCAGTATATGTAAATTATTTTTTCTATGATATTATCTATCTAAAAATAGTATTTCCTATTTAGGAAAATTTAAGTTGAGGTTGATTATTCTGAAGGGTTGAAAAAAATATCAAACTATATAATATATGTAGTTATTTAAAAAAATTATTTTTGATGTAAAACATTTTTCGTGTAGATCAGACCATGTGTTGTCGTGCTAACCATCTTAATACTTTGTTAGGTGATCCCCATTTTCTAATCAGGCTGAACTGGTATACCTATAACGTTTAATGAAGTGCCTATTAAGGAACAAGAGAGGATATAACTTCATGGAAAATATGCGATCCCTTATTACTTTTACCACACTGAACTTGTGTACCTAGAGCATATAGTTCACCTCTTGCAAAGGAAGTAAAATTACACTATCACACAATCAAGCAGTGGTACCGACCTCTATATACATTTATTGCGGTGCAATACATGTACAATGTGATTTATTAAGTATAGTACCCCTATTTTTTCGTTAATTAATGATTTTTCATAAAATTATATAGATTAAAGTTTAATTAATTAATTTAAATCGTTATAATTATTAAGTTGATCGTAAGAAGAAATGATTCTTAAGGGTAAGTATTAGGGGTAACTTATAAAATTAAATAGGGGCCAAATATTATTTTTTTGCTACTAAATGGAGAATAGTCTAAATAAAATATTGATTTTTATTATTTTAGTTTTGTATAATTACTTTTTAAAATATTAGCATTTGAATAATTAGAAAAAGTGAGAAGTGTGCTAAAGTGTTTCTAAATCTTTAAATTGTAATATTTAAAAAATAATAATACAAAATTAATTATCGACCAAATAATATTTTACCTAGACCGTTCTTTATTTAATAGTAAAAAAAAATAATAATAATTTCCTATTTACTTTCGTAAATTACTCCTGCAACTTACCCTTAATAAACAAATAGAATATTTAATATAAGATATCAACAAGAAAACTTTTCTATATAATGAGAGAGCGGTATTTTTAGAATTTTTTTTTACATCCTTTAGGTTGGTTAATACCAACTGGATTCGCCCAATATATACATATAACAGCGAATATTTTGTAGAGTCTTTCCAATGGCAGAACTACTACTGACATTAGTAACTTAAATTACAACGTTTATATTACATTTTTGGCGTAAATAAATATAACAAATATATTAATATATATTAATTGTTGAAGAAGATTTGTGCATGAACACTAGGATCTTTTTTGGCGGCGGTACGGTTATTTAGGACAGTAAGAAAGGACAGATTTTAAAAAGGAGGGTTTGGATAATTTTGAAGACGGTTGTAAAAGTGTTTATATTAAGAGATAGCAGTTTGTTTTACAGTAGGAAGGTTTGGTTCTTGGCAATTGGATTACAGAACTTTAATTTTGCTAATATTTGATTTTTTTGCTGCTCCTCGTATCTCAATATCGTAATACTTTTATATATTATGAGTTTAAAGTGCAAGTTAGTTTTGAAACTTTTAAGGAGTAGTGGTTGGAGTGTTATAAACCATTGGTTTATAATTATTATTTTGGCATGAATGTGGGACGACCGATTGAATTTACGGTCAAGGATAATATCAAGATTTTTAGCTTTATTTGAATGAAGAATAGAACTCTTATTAATAAAAACTTGTGGAGGATTGCTAAGACGGAGAGTAAAAGTAACATAAGACGATTTGTTTTCACTTAGCATGAAGCGCCATTTCTAGCACCAGTCATACATGCGGTTTAAGTGTAATTGCAGTTAGGAAGCAGCGATGTTATGGTTTTTATGAATTGAAATAAATTCTTTGTCACCCACATAGGTATTGATAGCTGGTCAGAAGTATAAATATTAAATAGTAGGATAGTGCACTACGAGGAGCGCTTGATTTTAATAGATACAAAGGTGAAATTTTCATGTCACATTTGTCGCAAAGGTGCGATCCTTCAGATAGTATTTATAAAAAAACCCAGCACAGGGGGGTCGCGGCACAGTGGTGACGTGGTATAGATGGATCAAGTATAATGATATCTGACAGTGATTAAAATCACTATCAAAAAAAAACGCTTCGATGCAAATCTTTAGATAGTGTTTAATTTTAAAAAATTGGTGGATTATTCCAAAAGCTACATGATCTGCTAGTTCATTATTAATATCCTAATTAAGATAAAGTATGTCGAATGAAAAAGGGATTATTAAAAAATATTATTTCTCATAAAAAAATAATGTTGATCCATACACTTTTCAATATGTCATAGCATTATAAAGTTAAAAATGTAAAAAATAAAATCGAGAATTTTCACACAATAATAGCATTCGGTAGCCATTTTCACCGTGAAGATAAAATAAAGTCCGAAATTTTTTTTTCGCATAATAAAGTAAATTACATTAGCTTTAATTTAAGATATATATAAAAGTGTCAGACTTTCCGGAACACTTTCAAAATTTAAGTTGAAAAAGTTAATTTTTTGTGAAAAAGTTGTCATTTTAAATCCCCCCCTGTGGGCAGGTAAAGGGTCAGATATAAAAAAAATATATACCAAATGATAGGTAAAGACATCATGCATCTATAAAAAAAAAATTATATNATAAGACATCATGCATCTATAAAAAAAAATTATATTTATCCATACATCTTTCAAAAAGTTATAGCATTATAAAAATAAAAATATAAAAAAGAATTTTTTTACAAAAATCGTATTTTTTTTATAAACTTTGATGTCTGTTTTCACCATGAAGATAAAATAAAGTCCGAAATTTTTTTTTAGCATAATAAAGTAGATTACATTAACTTTAATTTAAGATATAAATAAAAGTGTCAGACTTTCCGGAACAGTTTCAAAATTTAAGTTGAAAAAGTAAATTTTTTGTGAAAAAGTTGTCATTTTAAATCCCCCCCTGTAGGCAGGTAAAGGGTCAGATATAAAAAAAATATATACCAAATGATAGATAAGACATCATGCATCTATAAAAAAAAATTATATTTATCCATACATCTTTCAAAAAGTTATAGCATTATAAAGTTAAAAATATAAAAAAGAATTTTTTTACAAAAATCGTATTTTTTTTATAAACTTTGATGTCTGTTTTCACCATGAAGATAAAATAAAGTCCGAAATTTATTTTTTGCATAATAAAGTATATTACATTAGCTTTAATTTAAGATATATATAAAAACGTCAGAACTTCCGGAACACTTTCAAAATTTAAGTTGAAAAAGTTCTACTTTTTACATGCATTTTTTAGATTTGAACCCCCCTCGTATACAGGTAAATGGTCCGATTTAAAAAAACAGTATGTCAAATGAAAAAGGGAATATTAAAAAATATTATTTCTCAAAAAAAATTATGTTGATCCATACACTTTTCAATAAGTTATAGCATTGTAAAGTTAAAAATATAAAATATAAAATCGAGAATTTTCACAAAATAATAGCATTTGGTAGCCATTTTCACAGTGAAGATAAAATAAAGTCCGAAATTTTTTTTTCCAAGATAAAGTATATTACATTAGCTTTAATTTAATATATATATAAAAGTGTCAGACTTTCCGGAACATTTTCAAAAGTCAAGTTGAAAAAATTAATTTTTTGTGAAAAAGTTGTCATTTTGAATCCCCCCCTGTAGGCAGGTAAAAAGTCAGATTTATAAAAAAAATATACCAAATGATAGGTAAAGACATCATGCATCTATAAAAAAAAAATTATATTGATCCATACATCTTTCAAAAAGTTATAGCATTATAAAGTTAAAAATATAAAAAAGAATTTTTTTACAAAAATCGTATTTTTTTTATAAACTTTGATGTCTGTTTTCACCATGAAGATAAAATAAAGTCCGAAATTTTTTTTTACCATAATAAAGTATATTACATTAGCTTTAATTTAAGATATATATAAAAGTGTCAGACCTTCCGGAACACTTTCAAAATTTAAGTTGAAAAAGTTCTACTTTTTACATGCATTTTTTAGATTTGAACCCCCCTCGTATATAGGGAAATGGTCCGATTTAAAAAAACAGTATGTCAAATGAAAAAGGGAATATTAAAAAATATTATTTCTCAAAAAAAATTATATTGATCAATACACTTTTCAATAAGTTATAGCATTGTAAAGTTAAAAATATAAAATATAAAATTGAGAATTTTCACACAATAATAGCATTTGGTAGCCATTTTCACAGTGAAGATAAAATAAAGTCCGAAATTTTTTTTTCCATGATAAAGTATATTACATTAGCTTTAATTTAATATATATATAAAAGTGTCAGACTTTCCGGAACATTTTCAAAAGTCAAGTTGAAAAAATTAATTTTTTGTGAAAAAGTTGTCATTTTAATCCCCCCCGTGGGCAGATAAAGGGTCAGATATAAAAAAAAAATATACCAAATAAAAGGTAATTATATCACGCATCTATATAAAATAAAATAATATTGATTTGGTTATTTTTAAAAAAGTTATGGCACTTTTAAGTAAAAAAAATTGAAAAAATTTCGAAAATTAGCGATTTTTAAATTTGTAATTTTTTTGGAGGTTTCCCCCATTTACGGGGAACGAGGGAATTTTTTTCAATTTTT